ACTTAGCACAATGCCCTCCGGGTTTATTTCACCCTTTGCACTCCGCTGTCCCCTCTCAGGGGACATCGGAATTCTAGCATATCACTCGGATGTCCCCTCTCAGGGGACATGGCAGTTTATTAGTGATCACGGGGAATTGAGTTAATTCAACGCACGTGTCCACCGCAAAGTAGCGTCGAGTAGCTGGTAGCCAATGTCCAGAATGGTTCGGCGTGCAAAGGGTTCATTGTTGCACATGGCAGGAAGGTCTTCTTTTTAGGGCTGAATAACATCCCTTGTGTGTATGCACCAGGTCTTTATCCATCACCGGTTGAAGACTTTTGGGGTACATTGTTGTGAATGCTGTCTTGGGTTTCTTCGGATAAATGTCCAGAAATGGAATTGGTGGATCGCCTGGCAGTTCTAGTTTTAATTTTACCAGGAACCTCCATTCTGTTTTCTGTAGCGGCTGCACCATTCATCTTCCCATCAACAGTGCACAAGGGCTCCATTCTCTCCACATCCTCACCAGCACTTGCTGTTTGTTGTCTTTTTTTTTTTTTTTTGACAACCATTCTAATAGGTGTGAGGTGACATTTCACTGTGACTAATACTTGGAAAAGCGAATTTTAATTGCAAAGGACATTTCACAATGTTGCCACAAGTGAAACACAGCCTGGTTTGCCACAAATAGCAGGTAACAAACAAGTGCCACGAAGATAAAATCAAGCGTCAATTCTGGCTCCAGAGGTTGCCTGTTGAAGAAGGGGGAGTTGGGAGGGTGTGGGGGAGGTGTTTTTTTTTTTTTTTTTTTGCAAAAAAATGAAAGATCAGCAAATGCTTAAATGGCATTCAAGACCTCAGTCCCTCCATGTGCCCGGGCCTTGGTACCTGCTGTTCCCTTTGCACGGGACAGTTCCCCAGGTATCCACGGGGCTCCCTCCCTCGCCTCCTTCCATCTTTGCTCGAATGCCCTTTCTAAGCAGGACTTCCGACTTCCCATGACCTCCTTGCTTAGAACAGCAGCCCCTTTCTCCTCTCCTCTCTGGGCTCTGTGTGTATTTCCTGTGCACACAGCACTTCTTAGTCACTGCAGGGTTTCTGGATTTGTTTGTTTGTCGCCTGCCTCCCCTGCTGGGAGTTTGGCTCCAGGGGGCACAGAGCTTGGTTTGACTGCTCACTGCTGCCTCCCCCCCACAGTCCCCCATGCCTGCTTTACGGTTGGTGCTCCATGTGGAATAACGTGCAAATGATGAGAGAAGCGAGTTCTCTCCCCTGCTTGGGGCCTCTCAGGGGCTTTGCAGCCACCTTTTCTCAGAGGCAGACGTTACCTCAGGTGGGCAAAGGGTGCAATTCCCAAGGTATTCTGACAGTGACTGTCGTGCCCAGGTGGGTTGGCAGGAAGCTCAGCGTCAATAAGGTGCGGGAGATAAGCAGGTTCAAGAGAAGTCTGGAGACAGGGCGAGCCCCACGCAGTTCCTGCGAATTTGCTGGGCGGGGGAGGGGTGGGCGGAGGCCGGGTGCCCTGCTGGAGCAGCTGGGTTGGCGAGGAGCCTGCCTGCGTGAAGGAGCAGACGAAACGTGGTCTGGCCTTACCCAGGGATGAGGTGCTAGCACAGGCCACCACAGGGACGCACCCTGAAAACTTGATGCGGCGTGAAATGAGCTGGTCACCAAGCCACATACTGCGTGAGCCCACCTACAGGCGATGTCACAGGCAGACCCAAGACAGAGAGATGGGGGTGAGTGAGCGGGGAAGGCTGCTCAGTGGGCCCGGGATTGCCTCTTGGGGAGACAAGGATATCCTGAAACCAGATAGATACAACCCGATGAATGAACCTGAAGACACTTTAAAAATAATTAACTTCAGCTGAAACCGGTTTGGCTCAGTGGATAGAGCGTTCTGTGGACTCAGGGGTCCCGGGTTCCATTCCGGTCAAGGGTTTGTACCTTGTACTGGAGGGGAGTGTGCAGGAGGCAGCTGGTCAATGTTTCTCTCTCATTGATGTTTCTGGCTATCTCTCTCCCTTCCTCTCTGTGAAAAATCAATAAAAGATATTTTAAAAATAAATAAATAAATAAAAATAATTAACTTTGGTATGTGAATTTTATCCCAATTGAAAAAAGTAGGAAAAAGCTGATGGCAGAGCCGCCTCTCCTGTAGCAGGCTCCTCCCACTGGTGGTCCTGGGGTGAGCTGATGGGGTGCAAGGACACAGACTGGAATACTGAGTCCCAGAGTGAGCTGCTATTGCTCTCTGCCCAGCCCCCCCCCGCACCCCCCCCCCCCGCCCCTGGCTGAGAGAAAGCCTGGGTGGGTGCCAACACCGGCTGGTCTGCCTTTGGACAGGGCGGGGGCAGGCCTTGGCCCCGAGCCCATGCAGGTAATGAGATTTGCTGTTACTGTATTTACTTTTTGGTGTCTTTAGTTTCTGGCCAAGGAGAGAGGGTGGAATCACTGGTGACCTCTCCTTCACAAAGACAGGTCCACATCCGACCCTCAGTGCCCGGAGCAGGGTCTTTGCCGACGTGATGAAGTGAAGGATCTCAAGACAGAGGGGTCCTAATGCAATGGCCGGTGTCCTTGTAAGGGAAAGGGAGCTTGGCACAGAGGCACAGAGGGATGGAGGCCACGAAAGACAGAGGCAGAGAGCGGAGCGGTGCAGCCACAAGCCAAGGAAAGTCAGTCTCCCTGGGAGCCCAGAGGGAACTAGGAAACGGTCTATCTGGCCCCTGGAATTCAGACCTCTGGTCCCCAGAACTGAGGGAGAACAGCTTCCTGTTGTTCTCCACAGCAAGCGCCACCAGCTTTCAGTTTCCAGAGGGAAAGTGTCCCTTTTAGATGCAACTGATCCTCGGACAACACGGGTTCAAACTGCACGTCCAACTACACAAGGATTTTAGGGAATAAACACCGTAAATGCACAGGGTGGGGGGCCAAGGCAGGCTTACAGTGACGAGTAAGCGAAACACAGAATTTCTTCTTGTATTATTATTAATTACATCATTAATGTTTTCTATAGAACATGTAGACCTCCTTTTGCCCTATCCTATATTTCCTCTTAAGATTTTCTTAATCACACTTCCCTTCTAGCTGATTTACTGTAAGCAGACAGTATGTAACATACACATACGAACGATGTGTTCATCAACTGATTGCTATCGGCAGGCAGGCTTCCAGTCAACAGCAGGCTGTCTGTCGGCCACATTTTTGGGGAGTGAAAGTGATACTCGGGTGTTCAACTCTCTGGGGGTCAGGGTACCCAGACCCACTGCTCTTCCAGGATCCCTTGCACCCTGAATGTGTAAGGCAGTCAGGCATCGAGGAAGTGACCTTCCTGGGTGTGTAGGTGGCACATCCAACTGTCCGGAGGGAAGTCAGGCTGAGCTGCGGCGTGTGGCCAGAGGGGGAACGGTGGAGGGCCGGGGGTGTGAAGGCCACTCGGGTGGCAGAGCCTGTGGCCTGTGGCAGGCTGGGAGGCCCCACGCTGTCCCCGACCAGACACTTGAGCACATTTGCAGGAAAGCCCGAGTGTTCCCAGCCAGTGATTCAGATCCGCCTTCCTTTGGGGAAGAGCACTTGACAGGGAGGTTTTTTCCCACCGCCCTGAAGTGCGGGGAGGAGAGGGAAGGGGGTTCCCAGCAGACGGCCAGTGGGAAAGACATCTTCCCTGTGCAGGACTCAGGGTCACTTGCAGGAGGGACGCTGCCCACCCTCCCCTGGCCCCCACCTCCGGGTGCCACCAGAGGATGCCTGGACAGGCGTGCTGGCCCCTCCCTCCAGGACAGAACCCCGAACGCTTGCCAGTCACTGGATGGGTCCCTGGGGAAGCCCTGGGCTGCTTCCACGCTCTGGACGCCCCTGAAGAAAGCCGGCATTACCCAAGAGCTGGAGGCAGAAGAGGAAAAGCCAGTGCTTGCCGAGCACATGTGTCCACACTGGGCAGGAACTTCCACCTGGCTCCAGCTCAGGGTCTCGCTGCCCGGGTCCGGGGAGCGCATGGTTCTGACACCAATCCCACCTCACCTCCTTCTTCCTGCAAACAGCCTGGGCACACGCGGCCCAGCAGCCCCTCAGCCCTGGGGCTGTCTCCTCACAGCTGAGGCCCCTGGTCCGGGCTGCCTCCCACCTTCTCCACGGTACTCTTCAGTTTTCTACACTAAAGCCACCGTGACATAGGAGTGCCATGTCCCCGCCAGGCATGGCTGCCGCCGGGACGGGCAAGGCTGCAGCCAGACTGGCCCAGCACTGGGTCCCCAGCAGGCCCTGGTGCAGAGCAGAATCCAGCCTCAACCCAGGGGCTCCAGCCCCTTTAAGGCCCTGGGCTGGGAGAGGAAGGGAACCCCGCTGGGGGCAAATGGGAGACTGAACCCCAGGGCCCCCTGCCCTCCTGAAGCAGCCTCTGCCTCAGCCTGTGGTATGAGGTGGGCAGGTGGGTGGTGCCCCGTTCACTTTGGACTCAATTCAGGGTGTACCTCAAGGCCCAGAAGGCCCGGCGTTTCTGGGCAAGGTTTCAGCTGCAGCGTCAGGAGTTGCCGTGAGAACCCATTTCCAGGAAGCTCCAGAGCTCACGCTGGAGCAGGTCCTGGCTCTGGAAGGAGCCCGCCTCCGCACGAACTTCCCGATGCCTGGCCCTGGGCTTCCCCCGCCCAGCAGCACGTGGAAGCCACACGCGGAGGCTGCCTGCACCTGCCTGGGGAGGTCGGCTGTTAGCAGCACCTTCCCACAGGTGCACCCCTGAGGCGCGATGGCCCGCAGGTGAGGGTCACAGTGTGGACCAGGCTCACTGCCCCGGCGGGGAGCGGGGGAGGTGGTACTTTCTGCATGGAACCTGATGCACCTGCGTTTCCCCAGCTCTGGGCAGGAACGGCCCTGCCCCTCTTTTAGGAACTGGAGGGCCACCTGGCCAGAGTGGGGCTGCTCAGCCCTCTGACAGCTGTGACAGGCTGAGGGTCAGTCAGCAGAGAACCTGCCTTTTGCCTGCGTGGCCGCCCGGCCACAGACACGAAGCAGCAGCCACGTTCTGGTAGCTCTTTCGCGTTTATTGCCAAGTAACAATTTACAAGGAAGTTCCAGTTTTCATTTCCACCCTGCTGTGCGGTGCCCAAGAAGCATGAGTCACCCTGGTGAGCAGGTACTTCCCTGAAAGGGTCCCTCAGCCCAGAAGCGTGAGTGTTTCCTGACCCTGCTCCTCCTTGGGACAAACTTATTTACATATTTTCAGTTCGGAGGAACATTAGGAACCCTTACAGTTTATGCCCAGTGTCAACGTGACTGAAATATTTCTCATTTATTGCATCTAGAAAAGATGAGGATCCGTTCAGCCCGTGCCTTAGATCTTGGAGATCGCTCGTGTCCGCGAAGGGTGCGTTTCTTCATTCGCCCTCAGACGCGGGGCAGGTGCTTGGGTGGGAAGCTGCCTCCTGCAGAGCACAGGGCAGGGCAGGCCTGGCGGAGGGGGCTGAGAGCGGAGGACTGTTGGGGCGGGAGGACCCTCCTGCCCGCCTCTCCCTGGGATGGGGCATCTGTCCCACCTTCTCACTGTGGCTCTGGGATGGTCCCCTGCTCCTCCCCTGCCGAGACCTTCTCCGTCAGTGCCAGAGGCCACGAAACCACCAGGAACCCCTGGATTCCGGACAGCAGGCGGTGGTCCCAGCTCCACCTGGGAAGTCACTTGGTTTCAGTTCTACTGCCTGAGTCATTGGAAAACCAGAAGTGCACGGCCTGGGATGGGATGTTCCTATGCACAAGCAGCTCACGCAGGACCCGTGGCTGGCTGCTGGAGAAGGCGTACCACCGGCCCTGCTCCCCGCGGACTGTCTTCTCCTCCCGTCCACCTGGCTCTGCGGGTGGCCGTGGCTTGTCCCTCTTGCCAGGGCCCCGAACTTCAGCCTAAATGAGTCCTTTCTTTGTTGAAGATTGGTGGGCACAGCTGCCTGGAGGGCTTCTGACTGGCACCACTCCCGTCCCCAGCAGAACTGTCTCCTCCAGACCCTGCTGTGGTGGCTGGATTTGAGGGAGGCGGAGAGGACCCCATCCTCTAACAGGTGGGTGGTGAGCAGGCTGAGTATCTGGAGGCCACGGGGGGGGGGGGGGCCCAACACCGGGAGGCAAGCTGCGGAAGGTCCCAGCACGCAGAGTGGGGAGGGTTGCTTAGCTGTGCCAAGCAGGAACTTTGGCTGCTTTACTGGATCGGGGAGAACTGGCCCTCGCACCCCTGGCCCAAAGGGCGGGCGTTCATTTACAAACAAGCTGTGTTTTGGCGGTGGCAGCAGAGGAAGGGTACACAGGGTCCAGCAGGCGATGTAGGTGCTGCTGCCACGCCTTTGCTCTCATCACAGCCAGTGGGGGCTTCGCGGTCCCCAGTGGTTCTTTCTTAGGCAAACAGATGGGACAGCTGAAGGGGATGCTGGGTAACTGTCCTGCTTGCTTTTGGGCCAGAGACCAGGAACGGGTGGCGAGCCAGGAGCTGACTGCAGGTAACGTGAGGCCCCTGGGCTGCTGGCAGGGAAACCCCTCCCTCTCTTCTCCCTGTGTACCCGAGAATACACGTATCTCCCTTATTTTGTTTAAAAAATACTCTAAACTTTCCAGGAAGGTACTTATCATCCCACAGGCCTGCAGAGTTAGTGAGTAATAAAGAAATAAGAATCACTTAAGAAAATGAAGAACGCCAGACTGAGAACTCTAAACCAAAACACTGGGAAGTTCAGGGGAAAACAAAAGTGAAAACTTAACAGTAATCTTACACTTTTTACATGACATTAAACCTTAGCACTGAGGATTTTTTTGGACTTTTCAACAAAATAGGTGCTTTTAAAATAAATGCTTTCCACCTGCTGCCAAAAGTGGAAATAAATACCCAAAGGAGATGTTTATCGAAGTTCGCTTTTCTGCAAATTTCTACCTATGGTGACCTCGTCCGCTTCTTCTGTGCACACTGGGATGCACGGAAGAGCTGTGAGCTGCGCAGGGCCGGCTGATGGGAGGGGTGATGGTGGTGGGTCCTGCCACCCAGGCTGGGGGCGCGGAGACCAGGAAACCAGCCACTTCCCGAGGCGCCGCCTCAGCCCTCTAGGTCTGCTGGGGCGTCTCCATGGGTCCCAGCTGCTCTCGAAGTGGAAAGTGAAAGAGGAATTCAAATGGAGTCAAGGAGCACAGGGGGTGGTGGAGATGGTCACAGCGACGATGCTCCCAGTGTGTCTTTGGAGTCAGTGGCCTGGGTCCCCATCGGCGGAGCCACACCCACACAGGGAGGCTGCGCGGCTCAGACTAGTGCTCAGCGGGGCCTGCTGGCTCCGGATGCGCAGTCTCCTCACCTGGGGTCCCCGTGCCCTCGGCGGCGAGTGTGGGTGGTGGGGGGATGCCTGCCAGGGTATGGAGGCTGTCGGGGTCCACAGGCGGGACGAGGGTCAGCGACTCCACGCTCAGCGCGTCGGCCGTGTCCTCGCAGAGCAGGGAGATGGCGGGCTGCTGGGCCGGGGTGAGGCTGGGGGACAGGCTGACCGTCTCCACATCCACGCTCTTGGCCAGGCTCTTGCAGGGCCTGGCGTCTGCTTCCATTTCGTTGACGATCACCAACTGGTCGGGAAGGTTAGGCTGCGGCTGTTCCAGAGTCACGGCGTCATCTGGGTGGGGGGAAACATAGGGACACTTAGCTCCGAGACCTTCTGCTCTGCAGGCACCCTCTGCCCCCGTCCTGGACAAAGGCCCAGGGGGATCTGGGCGGGAGACGGTGGTGTGGAGGGAACAGCTTGCTCCGCTGCTCCTCCTGGGGGCACAGAAGCTGGTGAATCCAGTCTGACCCAGGCCCGGGGGAATCTGTAAGGGCCCAGGGCTACCCTCACTAGTGATGCAAAGGAAAAGTGAGGGACTTGTGCAAAAACCAAGGGGTGGATGGTGGGAGCCCAGTTCCTGGATGCCCAGGGAATGGCCCGGGGGCTGTATGGATGCACCAGGCTTGGCCCACCTGCCTGATGATAAACATACGTGAAGGGAGGAAATGGACTTGGGGTGCTTATCACTGCATGCTATTTCTAGAGTCTAATTTGGTGACTTTTACCAAAAAAGGAAACTCACTGCAATATTTAAAAAAAAAAAGGGGGGGGGGGGGGACAGAGAAGGGAATTCTCCCATCCAAGTACTAACCAGGCCCGACCCTGCTTAGCTTCCGAGATCAGACGAGATCGGGCGCGTTCAGGGTGGTATGGCCGTAGACTAGAGAGAAGGGAATTCTATCGAATGTTTTAACTTGCAAAGCTGGGACTGCTGTCTCCTGTTCCTTCTTGAAGTGCTGAGTTAGCACTCACAAAGGGACTGTGATCGCCCGGGCCATACAGGTCCCCACAGAGAGAAACCAAATCAGAAGGAAGGGGAGGATCTGCCCATACAGTTATTTTCAGAGCGGCAATTTCTTTTCTGGGTGCTTTTCAAAACACTGGCTTAGGTCACAGACAGATGGCCTCATTTGCTTTCCATGACAGACCTGCCTGGACAGACACGCCGGTTGTGACTGGAGGACATGGTGGAAAACATCTTCTAGGATGTCACATGCCCGTCATTGGAAAGCGTTGGTAAGAAGGCTGTGAGCATCTCGCTTGGAAAGCAAATTGCTATGTGTATGGACCGTGGGGCTGAGGAGCCATTGGCTGGAGGTGCTGGTGACAGTGTGTGGGCCATGGGTCTGGGCCCTGGGAATGGTGGTAGACATTCTTTTGTCCAATGCGATTCTAGTTTGGTTTTTTTTTTCTTATAAGTTAAGCCAAAACAAAAGAGAATTGCCAACACTGAGCAACAGAATGGAAAAACCAAGAGCAAAATAAAACCACAGGGCACACAGCATGGGTAAAGGAGAGAGAGGATGAGGAGCCCCATTGGGAGAGGAAGTGCAAGCAACAGATTGAGCCTCCACAGCACACGCCAGGGTTTCTTCCCACGAGACTCTCAGGCAAGATGAGCACTACAGGTCCCAGTTAAATTTCTTTACAGGCCCCCCCCCCCCCCTTTTTTTTAAAGCAAAATAAGGCCAGAGAAAGCCACTGCGTGGGACTTTGGGCCTGTCCTCACTCCTGGAGGGTGGCACTGTGGGCATTAGTGGAAAAAGTGACTCGAGCAGGGGTGACCTGAGACAGAATGGTGAACACCCCACACACATTCTGGTTTCTCTGAATTTCTGCGACTTCGCTTCATCCCGTTAAGAACGGAGGTGGTGATGGGCTGACCCGGCACGACCTGCCTGTCACTCACCAGGACGTGTGGCTGAGAGGGGGCTCACCTGCCCCGTGGCCACACCTGGTTTCACATGAGTGGGTGCGTGTCCGTGAGCCTCGTGCACGTGGGTACACATGCAAGTCGAGCTGCTGATAGGACAGCTGAGAAACGACTAATTCTCCAAGTAGCACTTTTGTGTCATCTGGAGACAGAGCTGCAAAGCATTTCCTTCATTTTTCTCAAAACTTCTATGTCAGAGTTTCCTCTCTGCCCGTCCACATTTGCAGGCAGGTATTCAAAAAAGCTGGCAATGCTCTCTCCTTGATCCCTAATGGGGTTTTTGGTGATGAGAAAAATCAAGGATTTGCGAGAGTTGCCATCAGATATGTTAGAAAACAAACCAACCGACAAACAGCATCCTGTACATAACCCTGGTCACTTCTTTAGGAAAAGAACTCACACTTTCATTAAAGAGATGGGTTTCCCCCATAAAAATAGCCTGCTTGTTTTTTGTTTTGAGTAAGATCTGAAACATGTCTTCATTACATTATTAAATTATTCAGGGCCCACCTGACTAACCCAGAATAAACTCCTCCTCTCAGGATCCTTAACCACACTTTTTGCCCTCTATGGTAATATTTACAGGTTCCAGGGATTAGAACATGGGTGTGTATTTTAGGGGCCACCATCAATCTATATTGGGACCCTAAAAAAAGCTTTCAGTTTTTTGGAGCTACAGTTCCTCATCAGTAAGAGGAGGACAATGACCTTCATTGCCATGGCTGTTTAACTGTATTTTCCATGTAAAACATGTTTCCAGGGTCACATAAATTAGCCTGTTTTTTTTTTTTTTTCCCTACTTTACTGTTATTGTTAAACTAAGAACTGCTTCTTAATGTGACCTTCACACTTATCCACTGGGAAGGGGACTTTGCAGGCTTCACCAGGGGAACACAGCCCAGCGAGGACATGTTTTCTGGTCAAGTGCTGAGCTGCAGAGGTTACTGAGTTGGGGTTTATGAGGTTTAAGGCCACAGGTTGGGACCTGGCCCAGGAAGTGTGGGATCTGGAGGACATTCTGGCTTCCTGGCCGGCGGCAGGGGAGACGACTGGAGGCCGGAGTGGGAAATCCCGGATGTCCAGGCTTCCATGAGTGATGCTTGGCCTCCCCGTGGCTCTGCCCCAAGCTGACCATCACATCCCTGGCCGGCACCCCCAGAAGCTGGTCTCCGGCGTTGGGGCAGGGGCCTGGCTGACCCTTGCCGAGTGTGTTACAGTTCCCAGTAAGAACGTGGGTTTGATGTGCTCGTCTGGAATAGGTGGCCCTGAGTGAGGCGGGGGAGAAAAGAGCAGCACAGCAAGCCAGAGGGCAAAGCTCAGGGGAAGCAGCTTTTAAACACAAAAGAAGGCAGGAGGCTCCTGACTGGCAGGCGCAGCTGCCAAGAGGGAGGGCGCATGTGGGAAACCCCGAGGAAGCACCGAGGGAGAAGGCCCCCAGACCACCCTCGCCACTATCCAGAGCGGAACTGTAAGAGGGGGATGTTGGAGTTACAACCATTGGTGTGTTTGTAACTTCCGGCCTTTGACTGGAATGTGATGGAAACCATCACTTAGGTTTGAGCAAGACCAGGATAAAATGAAAAGGAAAAAAAAGCTGACTTACTGCTTGCTTATTGCAAAATCTACCACCAACCCTGTGGCCTCAACTGGGGCTGCCCTGGGAAGGCCGGGCCTGTGCCACACCTGGCCTGGCCTGCGTGGTGTTGCCTGGCAGGGCGTTGTTTCCAGGCTGCGGGGTCTGGTGCGGAAGGGGAAAGAGCCAGGGAATTTGATCCTCAGGTGAGATGAGGCCACAAAGGGAGGGGGCTCCAGGGAAGGTGAGGAAATGCCCACTCTGAAGGAGCTCCAGGTCCCCACTTGTCCTGGGAGCCCAGGCTGGCTCGCTTGCCGAGCAGAGCCCGCTGACTGCAAATGCGGCGGGCGAGGGGCGTCGTGGGCCGCGGAGGCTAGCGGAGGAGACCTGCCTGCATGGACTGTGCCAGAGTTGCCGTGACAGCTGCCGTTCGAAGCACTAAACCCAGTGGCCGCCGTGACTGTCGGCCTCCGACAGGCTGAACACTCGCCGGCGTCCTTTCCTGCCACTCCTGACTAGAGGGAAACACAGCAACAGATCATTGAAAGCCTTTAACAACAGGACAGAAAGGTGACACGGAGAGGGGCGCAGAGCAGAGACGAACACTGAGCATCGATGAGTGTGCAAGGGGCGGGGCAGTGCCCAGGGGTGCTGTGACAGCTGGGGCGTGGGGCGCAGCCCCCCATGCAGGTAAGACAGCCCCACTCTGTCCCTCCAGGACGAGGTGGTGTAGGGGCTCAATCGGGGTAAGGACAGCGAAGGTTCTGTCCTGTTGGGATGGAGAGAGTGGGGCCATCGGCGTCATCTGGTCTTGGTGAGAGGCCAGGGGCCCGTCAGTTTCAATGCAAACCAGCAGGTAAGAGGTGACCCCTGCATCCGAGGGAGGCTCTGAGGAGGGAAGGCTGTGTGGTTGGAGGATCGGAGCCAAACCAGCTGGTGAAACAAGCAGATTTCTGACCCACTGATGAGGCCGATGGCCCTCAGTGTCAGCACCCGAGAGCCGATAGCCGCTCTGTGAGTCCTAGAAAGGCCTCGGGGCAAGGTGCTCCGAGACATCCTCCCCGGCCTCGGTGACACTCTCCAGGCAACGCTCTAGTGACGAACCTTTGGAAACCAGGACTGAACCATGGCAGGAAGATCTGAGACCTGGTGCCAAGAGGCCCGAGGGTTGGTTCTAACCGGCTGAAACAAAAATGTTAGGAGCATCTCATTGGGAAGGAAGGAACCGTCATTTGAGACAAACTTGGGATTACGGCAAAGCTTGAAATCAAGACCACAGAACACAAGGCGAAGGTACCTAATGCCACTAAAATATAAGCTTAAAATGGTTAAAATGGTACATTTTATGTTACTTATATCTTATCCCAATTTTTAAAAAATGTCGTGGAGAAAACTGGGGAGAAAAGACAATATCTTTGATTCAGGTTTCTGTCTGTAAAAGTTCTGCCTGACTGAGCTCAGTGACATGCAGGGCAGTGACATGCAGGTCAGTCTTGGGCTGTCTGGCTCTAAGTTGGGCCAAATGGGACTATGTCCTGGGGTGAAGGTCGTATGTTTGTACAATCACCCTAGGGAGAGGTGAGGATGGGGAGGGAGGCCCAGCAGCGCAGTACCCTGCCCCTGTCAAGCTCCAGACAGGAACCAAATTATCTTTCTTTCTGTAAACCTTGGGGAAACGTCATAGTGGCCACAACTCATAATTCTGTGGGCCTTAGGAATGGACATCAGAAGAGCAGGCTGACCCAGCCTGTGGGGCTCAGTGGTTGAGCATAGACCTATGAATCA